ACACACACACACACACACACACACACACACACACACACACACACACAGTGTTTTGTCTACATGTATGCTTATGTACCACATGTTTGCCTGGTGGTTTCAGAGGCCAGATGAGGGTATCAGATGCCCTGGAACAGAAGTTACAGACAGCTATGAGCTTCTATATTGATACTGGTAACTAAGAAAGACCAACTAGTGTCCTAACTGCTGAACCATCTCTCTAGCCTCTCCATTCGGGTACACAATCCAGTGATATTTTACCAGTTTACCAAGTAGTACAACTGTCTTCACAGATCAGTTTTAGAACATTTCCTTACCTCTATAGGATCCCCCATGCTTATTTATAATCAATTCATGTCCTTAGTCCTGGCCTCAGGCAACTACTAGTCTATCTATATTTCTATAGATTTATTTTCTTCCGGACATTCCATCAATGGAATCCTACAGTATGCCAGTGTCTGTCAAGAAAAGCAGTGTTCTCGAGGTGCATCCACATTATAGCATGACTCCACAGTCTGTTTCTTGAAGGACTTTGTCTATTCCTCCTCCAGACAATGGACATTGGGCTCTTCTTGGTTTTGAGCTTTTATGAATAATTCTGCTGAGGAGTCTCTTGAGCAGGACTTTGGGTGTTATGTGCTCTTACTTTCATCAGATCTATGCTTGGCAATGAAATCACCAGGTCAGGCGGTAAATATATGTTGGGTTTTAAAAGAAACTGCTGAGCTGTTTGCCCAAGAGGCTGTAATAGCTCTTCAGGGTTACTGCTTTTCCAGTGTGCTAAGCCCAGCCTCTTCTTAGTGGCTGTGTAGACTTGGAAGGCTTTAGTTTCCTCTTTAATTAAAGCAGGTGTGTAGTGAACTGACATTTACCGAGTGTGTACCCTGTGGGATGCCTTATGAATCACTCTCTCACTTCATTCCCTGTCTCTGTGAAGTGTAGATATTAATTTCCACCTATCTGGTGAGTTTACTGAAGTTCAGAAAAATCAGGTAAACAAGTCAGCATGGTAATTAGAGGATTGTTGTGGGTATTAAATGATATCAACCCTCAACAATCCTAACATTAACCTGGCATAATCCTAACATATCCTAACATTAAATTGAAGGATGAAGAGGGTTTTTATTTGTGTCTTTAACCCTGCCATCTCAGAAAGGTCTAACTCCAGGGCTCGACCTTCCTCAAAGTGTCACACCTTAGAGAAACAGAAAATTCCCTGTGCTCATAATCACCCTGTGGCCCATGTGTCAGAGTCAACCCCCAAGTCAAATAGTACAGTTTTAGATGCTGCGGTAACAGGGGTAGCTCATTCAGGATGTGGACATAGCTCTTTATCGGCCACATTTTATCTTTATATTTCCGTTCCTCCTCTGTTCAAAAGCACAGTAATTGCTTTTTCAAACTTTACAGAAACAAGCTCTGACAGAAGCACATATGAATGCTACCAGGAGGTTAATTAACTGGATTGATTTGAAATGGAACGTTTATCAGGGAGGAGAGCATTAATGCCGAGAAGAAAGTAAAAAGGGCGCATAATGTCCAAGTGGCAAAATGACTTGGGTGAAAGGAACTCAGTGACTATCTTTGTAAAATTCAAGGGATTTGAAATTTTGTATCTATTCTTTGAAAATGTATACTCAACGTGAAAAGTTATGTACAATAAGACTTTTTCTAAATTGGTAACTTGTCATTTATTATATCTTTTCAGGGAGAACCAGGGGTCAGAGGCCCTCCAGGCCCCTCTGGGCCTCGGGGCATAGGAATCCAAGGACCAAAGGTGAGTCCTCAGGTCTCTGATATGAGTACCAGGTACCAGTTAAGACATCCGTAACTGGAAATCCCTGAACAAGAAATGCTCCAAATTTAGAAACTTTTAGTCACAGCGTGGCTACAAGTGGCATGTCCATAGCTGATTCCTTGTAATGAGTGACAGTCAAATCCTGGCACATTAGGGCTTCCATAGAAGGTGCGTATGAAATATAAATGCATTGTGTTTGAATATGTATCCTGCCTCCAGAGGAAGTCATTATACACAAACAACTATTCCAAAATGTATACAATTTCAGTTCTGAAACACTTCTCATCCCAAGGATGTCTGAGATGGGACAGTCAAGTTTTAGCACCATACCAGTAAACAGCTACTTCTTATGAAACCTGCATTTGTTGTTGACTTAGCTTTTCCTGGATTATTGGTGAAATCTTTTTTCATGTCATGTGAGGTGCAGTATCTTTAAAACATTTGGTTCCCTTGGGAAATCACAAGGAGAACTTCTCTCAACATCGCTGCAAAGTGTTCAAGATATTTCCAGGTTTCTCAGGTGCTGGGCTATTTTGTCATGAAGCAGATCACAGATGGACATGATGGTATATAACTCCATTCCCAGAACTTAGAAAGCAGAGGCAGAAATACTAAAAATTCAAGGCCCACCTGTGCTACATAATGGGTTTGAGTCCAGCCTGAATTACATATAGGTGTCCTACCTTGAAAGAAAAAACTCATCTCTGTTTGGTCAGAGAAGTTTTCAGTGGCCTTTTAACAGGTCACTGGATAATGTATGTTCTGTATGTCTTCAGCCACTCTGTCAGACCATGGTGTAAAGGTCAAGCTTCATTGTGTCCGTACAAGGTGACAGGGATTTCTTTCGGTGCCCTTCACATCTATTTCTATGTATACATCACTTACTTATCTCCTCTAGCTTGGTATTTACAAATTCTTGAATTCTTCTGACCCAGTGTTTCTCACTGAGGTGATGTTGTCCTCCTTCCAAAGCCTCTAGTGAGGTCACTTCAGCAATCTCACAGACAGAGATCTTTTGGATTGTGTCAACAGAAGATGATAGTGACATTACCTGAGTTCAGATGTGCTGTTAAAAACGTTCCAGCTGAACTGGACAGCTTTATCTCCATCACTCGGTAGTGCTGAGTTTGAGATGCTGTTCTAATTATTCATTTGCATATTCAAGAAATGTATTTTTATTTGTTCAAAAAAAATGAAGGAAGTTTAAGTCATGTTTGTGGGAGAGAAGGTGCCAATGAGCCACACACTACAAATTCAGATTTTTAAATAGGTCTAGACACATCCAAAATTCATGTGAATTTATTAGAGAAGAGAGAGAAAAGACTTCTTGAACCAAGAAATTTTCGGAGGACCCCAGCCTCACCTGGATTCTTAGTTTAATCCTTTTTCCTTCCTTGAATTCATCTGGCAGCAGACTAGTTTTGAAAATCATGGGTCACTGTATGTAGATGGAGATCGTTCTAAGAGGACAGTTGTCACTGTCAGTGGGAAGTTGTGGGTGACTACACAGATGAAGATCCCTGTAAGATGACAATAGTCACTGTCAGTGGGAAGTTGTATCCATTTTTCTTCTCCACTCTCATCTTTATTTTTAGTTTTAAAATACTTTTGATATGAGAAAGCATCCTTACAATTTGAGAAAAATAAATCTTTCTCATAATGACAAGAAAAAGCACCCTTGACTTATTTAGTAACTTAATTCCCTATCTTCTTTTTATGTATGTATGTATGTATGTATGTATATATGTATGTATGTATGTATGTACATATGTATTATATGAGTACACTGTTTCTGTATTCATACACACCAGAAGAAGGCATCAGATCCCATCACAGATGGTTGTGAGCCACCATGGTTGCCAGGAACTGAACTCAGGACCTCTAGAAGAGCAGTCAGTCCTCTTAACCGCTGATCTATCTCTCTAGCCCCCTTAATTCCCTATCTTCAAAGCATGATCTGTTCAGGGTTGATTTGTGATCTCTTGGGATAGGCAAAGGTTCACTACTTGATCATGGAACTTCTGAGAGCTTTACTACAGTCATGACACAACTTCAGTCAGCTGCACATTTGAAGGTTACAACACTTGGTGATGTCCTAAAACCTTAGCTTTGTGTGGATACTGATGCTTGTACGGTGTAACAGTTGCCTAATCTCATATTCTTCAGCACATACGCCCATCACTAAATACCACATGGTGGCATGAATATGCATGGAAGTCTCCACTGGGCAGAACATACTGTTTTTCGATCTTACCCCACCTCAGAAGTCTTTCTTTAGTAAGCGAAGACACACAGGGAAATGCTGAACTTATTGTTTCATGTTTTCTATCATTAGGCAGGGAGGATCTAGGAGGAGTGAAGGGTGGGAGTATAACTAGAATATGCTGTATGAATTTGGGAATTCATACAAAATGGGAAGAATTCCAGCACTGACTTGTTCATATTCTTGGGCATTCCATACCGTGTACCATTGTTTTGTAGCAAACTCTCTATAAAAAAACATAAATATACTGACTTTTGTCACAGGGAAGAAAATTATTGCATCATTTTTCATCAACGTCTCTTGACACTATGTACATGTGTACATGTATATTTATATACACACGTGTGTTGGTGTATGTGTGTGTGTGTGTGTGTAGAGTCCAGAGGACTACTTCAGATGTCATTCATTAGAAACCTCGTAACTTGCTTTAGTGACAGGTTCTCTTATTGGCTTTAACTCACCAATATTTACCAGTTGTTGAGCCCTGGGAATGGTGCCTCTGCCTCTGCCTCTGCCTCTGCCTCTGCCTCTGCCTCTGCCTCTGCCTCTGCCTCTGCCTCTGCCTCTGCCTCTGCCTCTGCCTCTGCCTCTGCCTCTGCCTCTGCCTCTGCCTCTGCCTCCTCAGTTCTGATATTATAAGTACCACACCCTGCTTTTTCATGTGGGTACTGGGGACTAAGCTCAAGTTCTCATGTGTGTACTGCAAGCAGCTCTTCCACTGACTCTAACAGTATTCCCAGTGAAATGAGACCATCTTAAAGGGGAGCAGCATGTTCAAACTTGAGCAGAATCTGGCATTAGTGATCTCTGGACTTAGCATGGGCAGACTGGAATAGGAACATCTAGATTTGCCAAGCAGAAGTCCCCGGCCTCTCCTTCCATTTCTTTCAAGCTGCTCTTGGCCTCTTTACCTATACTTGTGTTATATGCAAAAGTTTGTTTGTAACAATTCTAATGGCCTAAGAATGTTTAGAACAAACACAGCTGTAAAGGAAATAGAACTGTGCTGTGGCAAGAGGACCCTAATGAGTTTAAGAAGGAAGCTAAGAGCAGTGATATCGCCATTTTTTTCCCTACACTGTCCATACTTTTTTGCCAATTTCTCTTCCTATTTTCACAGGGTGATACTGGGCAAAAGGGCCTGCCAGGCCCTCCTGGGCCCCCTGGCTATGGATCACAAGGAATTAAAGTAAGTGAATATGATTGTACTGGAATCATCTCTCAAGTCAGTAGGGTAAGGAAGAGGAGAACTTCATTACAAAACATAAATTCAGTGAGAGTGTCACAGTTAAAATTGCATCTGGGATTTAGAGACAACTTCCAGAAATGTGGAAATGGTACAAGTACAGTCTTTTCATAAACATTGCCCGTTACATACATTGCTTAGTGAAGCATTGAATGGTCCGGTGGTTGGATGATCTCTGGGGTGTGGGCTCAACAGAGACTTCGAGCCTATCAATCAGTATGTTCTTCTCTATCTCCCTTGCAGCTTTCTCACCCTTTTACATGAGGGCTCTCCTTACAGCCCTAGAGATAGGACACGAGGGAGGCAGAGCGTTAAGATGTGGCCCCTGGTGGGATGTGAGGACACAGAGAGTGGGGCCTGGCAGTTGGATGGGCAGGAGTTGATAGTGCTAGCTTGCAGGGCAAGCATTAGGAGTCTCTGGCCTAATATTAGTACCCTGGCATGGAGGATTAAAATTTAAACTCTAACGTAGGGCTTGAGAACTTGTTGAGCCCTCCGGGTGGTTCTCCCAAGCAGCCAGAGTGAACATTACTGCTTTTGGCCTCAGGCCTTTGTTACTGGAATTCATAGCAAGCTGCTTTCTACTTTGTTTTTGCTCAGGAGTAATAAGTAAGGAAGAATTCAAAGTTTTCTTTTATCTAAGTAGAAAAGCTTTAATAACTACATACCAGTTACTATGGAATTTTAAACATTTTTTTCTACTTCTAATATGTCGAGTTATGTTGTAAACTGTGCCACCTCACCTATTGATAGTCCTTCCTGCAATAAATCAGTATATATTTATTACCCTGTGAAAGAGTAACTGATAATCTAGAACTCCAGATAACTGAACTTCACCCTAAATTTAAATGGAAAACAAACTCTCTTTCGAAATAGTACAACATAGTAAATAGGAGATAGAAGGCACCTAAGATAATTATTTTAGACTTAAACCACATAGTTTCATGTAGAGGGAGCTAATTCTAGAGTAAAAGTCATTGAAGTGCTGTTAAATCTTCTAATAAAACACAATATCTAAAGTTTACATGACAGTGGTTCATCTGCCAGGCTGAGTTGCTAAGCAAAGACAGGCTAGCATGCCGCTGATAACACATGAGCGCAGGAAAATAGAGTGGAACTCTGATATTTAGAAATTACATCACTCTGCTACTCCATCCTTAAATTGTACATTTGAATGGTCGTGGTGTTCTATGGAAGTTTTTGTAAGACTTTTTTTTCCTTTAAATAACATGGGGCTGGAGAGATGGCTCAACAGTTAAGAGGAGTAGAAATTTTTTCAGAGGACCCAGACTTGATTTTCAGCATCCACGTATAGTGGCTTATAACTGTCTCTAACTCTAATTCCATGCAATCCAACCGACCTCTGTGAGCACTACATATACATGGTCCACAGACATGCAGGGAGAATGCACCCATATATATAAAATAAAAATGATTTAAAGATGAGCAAAAGATAAAACATAAATACATATGAGATCCTGGTCTTGTCACCCATATGAGCTCAATTGACACATGCTATAAGCCCATCTTCATTTTTAAGTTCAGTGACAGTTTTCTTCCTTCTATTATCTGAGATTTACTTCCTGTATTCATCCTGGAGCACCTTGGGTTGCATTTAATTAATCTTCTCACAAACCATGACTCATCTGGCTTTGGGCCCTGTCTTATGCCCTGCAGGTCATGCCGTGTTCACATGTACCCTGAGTGACAGTAGGTCACACACAGTACCTGACATGACATGGATCAAACCCCAACCCCAACGTGCCACATTCCATATTAAATCCTATGGGCAATAAGATGAGGTAGTCTTCCTCCACTTTGCACTGTGTCCTGATGCTGGCTGCTAGGTGACTCACAAAGCTCCCTTAGACATGTTGGTTTGCCTGGCTTCCAGTGAGCAGCAGGGAACACTTCCTGTTCTACAGTTAGACTGTCTCCACAAAAGGGAGAGACCTCAAAGACAGAGTTGGAATTTTAAGACTACGTAATAAGTGAAATCTTAGTCTTATGGCCTGTAGGCTTATCTGCTTTTAAACCTATTTTTAATAAGGGTACTTAAATGTTTTAGCCTCCCTTTTAGTCTTCTACACACCAGAGATAGTGAAAATGAAGGTTAATAGAGCAAAGGAGGATGTAGACCTGTTTAGAAATAGTTTTTTGGGGCAAATCTAGTCTGCATTGTCAGGATATCAAATCGGTAGCATCAGGTCAGTCTATTCACAAACACAATTTACAAATCAGCACTAGCAGTTCCATCCAGAGGAAGCAGCAAGAAGCTGCCAGTATACCACCAGATGTTTTTGGTGGCATTTTTCTCTATAAAGTCATGACAAATGATGACCAGCAAAGAGTGGCAAGCTGAACCAATACCATACAGCATCATCCACTGTCTGTTGGGATATATTATACACTTTGCAAACATCACGTGTTTCCGCAAGCATCAACTCCAGTAAAACATCACATGCCCCTTTTCCAGGCTGCTTCCAGAAAAACAACAAGTGTCTGTTCTCAGCAAAACATCCTTCTGTGTGTCTGCTTTAGTGATAATATCCTCTCATAAGTCATTTTTCAGAAAACATCATATGATACAACCAAGTCTCTATAGAAACCAGAAATTTCCATTCCATGACCATTTCTTGACACAGTTCTTTCATTTTTCTAAAGAATACCAGGTCAATGACACTTGAACTTTTTATTATACCCACCTAAAGGCCTTGATGCAGACCTTGGCCAACACTGGGACTTGAGCTGCCTGCTGCCTTCCTGTAACTTCTCATCCATAGGAAGATAGGACCAGGGCTGTGATCACTGGAGGTCTGCTTCAGTCTCACTGCGATGCTCAAATGTTAGCTCATTAGTCAGGTAGCCTGTGTAATGTGGTGACGAGACACTCCAATTTGGGGTTCCAAACAAGGAGCAGACAGAGGTGTCTCTCTAATGCTCTTTATTCTATTCAGGACTTTGCCTTTGTAATGAATCTGTTGCATGGTTCTGGCAAGTCTTTATGTAAATGTGATACCTGGAAATGCTTCCTGACTTTTAAGCATATCTGAGTTAGGCTTGCACACTAAGTTCTGTCATGACTTGATCTACATGTTTATTTGTTCACGGAGAGCTGCCACCAGCTTCAGCTCTTTATTTAGACTTGGGCAGGACTGAGCCAGCCCAGCTGATGGACTTCCCATGGACTGTGACTGGGCTGAGTTTCAGGCCTGGCAAGTTTATTATCAGTGTTGATACATTACTTCAGGGACATGCTGGAAAATTCGGTGATTGCTGCCTGGCAGAGGCCCCAGTGTCTGTAGAGATGGCCAATAGTAATTATTACAGTACTCACACTGTCCCCAGACTAACTGACACCCTCTCGGACATCTAGGACCTGTAAATGAAGAGGAACTCATTCAACAGGGATGCATACTCAGACAGCTTGAGCAATGGAATAAAAAACTTTGAACTTGTCTTTCCTGCTTCCTGAATATTGCATATATGCTTTAATTTCCTTATTTTAATAATGTGTATGATAATAGTACTGTCTCCTAAACTTGCTGTGAGGTATATTTGAAATGAAACACCATCAGAGGAATAATGTACTTGTTTGTACTCAATATCTATCTATCTATCTATCTATCTATCTATCTATCTATCTATCTACCTATCTATCCATCTACCAAATATATATGCAATTGTTTGTGTGTGATATGTATATATCATATATATTACATATTACTTACAAGCAAGATATATATATATACATATATATACATGTTTATATATAATCATGATTAGCTATAATTATGCATATATAAACATTTCTTATAAAATATGCATATGTAAACATATATGTGTGTGTATATATACATATATGCATATATAATTGTAGTTAATCACAATTATTTCTTCCTGCTTCTCTTTCCTTTCTGACTAGTGCATGTCATTTACTAGGAGAAAGGTCTGGAACTCTAGCAGTCAAACCATTTAATTCCCTTAAATATATTGGTTGCACTAGTTTACACTGGGCTCCAGTACTCTGTTGACTCCCAAATATACAATACTTCACATAACAGCCCTGTGTTGGTTTATGGTTAGCAGGCAATTTTCCTCTGAGAAGGGTGTCAGAGGATGTTATCTTCCATTTCTGGCTTCCCCATTGATGTAGACTGGTCCTCCTTCACTAACTCACTGCAGATACAAAGAGAGGGTGAGGAAAGGCCTTGTGTCCTGAACATTCTGGCCAGGATGTGACACATATTATCTCTGCTCACAATGTCGTTGTTGATGTTGCATTTACATGGCTGAATTACTTGCAAGTCAGGCAGGGAAAGGTAGCTCAACTGTACACCAAAAAAAAAAAAGTTTGGTGAAATACTGATGTGACCATAAAACAGAACATTGCCATTTCTAGGGAAGATGAAACTGGTAAAGTGATTTGTTACTCTGAAGTATGTTGATGCTTTCAGAAGAAAACAGAAAACATGGGAAGTCTCCATGGCAACTTGAAGGATACCCAGCTATCCCTAATACTATGAAGTATAGTACTCAGACTTTTAAAAACTGAGTTCAGCACCAGCGTTTCATTTATCTAACAAAAGTCATATTAGAGTCTTGATAACCTTGCTTATTTTGAGCAGTACGAAGAGATTGGGGTAGTGATTTTCTTTGGAGTCAGCTAACTTCCTGTTAAAAGCTGGAGGAAGACTGGGATGTGGAGCAAAGGACCAGGAGAAAGAGGTGCACACTCATTTCTACATAATAGTCTCCCTCCCATTCCTCTGTCCATCCCCTCAGTACAACTCCTTTCTTGCCCTTACTCTCAAATGAATGACCTTTTCATTATTTTTACATATGCATGTATACATGTGTGCATGTGTAAGCATGAACAAATGCATAAATGCAACCTGCTGAGTCTATTTTTGTTATTTGTATGTATATTGATACAGTTTCAG